CCCGCCGCGCGGAGCCCTCTGGGACTCGTAGTCTCCGCCCGCCTCGCCCCGCCCCCGCCGCGCAGAGCCCTCTGGGACTCGTAGTCCCCTCCCGCCTCGCCCGTCGTAGGCCTCGCGAGGCCGTGCGCGCCTCACAGCCGGGCCCCGAGGCGAGCAGGAGGCGCTGCTCGGCTCTCCCAGTCCCGAGGCCTGCAGCAGGGTGCCCCCCACCCACCCCGGGGGTGCTGCAAGCGCTGTGGGAGATCTGTCGCACCCTCTGCAACCCCCAGATCTTACGAGGTCTCTTCCAGCCCTAAAATCTACGAACCCGAACAATTCAACACCTCTGCAAGCTGGCAGTCCTAAGGCTGGGTGCAGGCGTTTGAAAAGACCGAGGCGAAATCAATCTTAAGTTATGCCGTTTTTCATAGGAACAGGGTGGGCTGCCCGGGGCCGTGGCCCGACTGACTTTTAGCACGTGAATTTAGCTGCACAGTTAAAAACCAGAATGGCAATTGCGCATTTGTGGGTTATATAAAGTAACGTGCTAAAAGTTGCCTGGGTGGCTGACCTCGTTTCGCGGCCAGCATTGTTTCCATCAATGGCGCAGTTGAAATGCGTTCAGTTCACTACCAGTTTGCCCAGAGGAGCTAATGTTAGACCTGGTTCTGCCCTTTTTTAAGTCAATGTATGTGCGCAGAACTTCTGTTACAGATAAAAACCCACTTCCCATCGCAGGCCTAGGACAGACATTGCATAAACCAGTTTGAACTCAGTCAGTTAAGTCTGATACAACATTCAACCAGGTTTCTCTTAAGTTGGTTTCAGCCATTTTGAAACTGGTTTCTGCGCACTGAACGTCTGTTCTATTACAGGTTTAAACCGGTTTCTGATCACTTAAACAGGTTTAAGTTGCAGGCTGTAACCAGTTTAGGTTTACAACCACTTAAACTGGTTTATGTGTAACTGCCGTCCCTAGCCATACTGGTAAAAGTGGGATGTCTGTCCCTGGCCTGAGCGGTCCTTAGCCCTGTGTGTCAGATTCTTCCTCAATGGGTGTGGGGTATCAGAAGCAGCATCAGTCCTGCTCATCACAGCTAATTAGTCTGGCTCGGTGCCCTGCTAACAGAGCTACATTGCCTCTGGTATCCAAGCTATCTCAGGCCTCTCCGCCACACTGCCTTGTGCCAGGCAGGCACACCCACAGACAATCCCAGGTTCACTGCATGCAGGACTTCACACAATTTCCCAGGAAAATTCTTTATTTCTGGTTCAGTCCTACACATTATTGTTGTAGGAGAGCACAGGGAAAAAAACAGATCAGCCATCAGAACAGATCTGTTGGCTGATCCATTGCCAGGCACGCTGACTTCCCTAATCTATGCCCGACTGCTCCAATAGTTCGTCAACACCCTTCTTTGGACAGTTTGATCACACTGCTAAGAGCTTACAAAAGGAAACCAAAAGAATGGACCTTACCATTGGGATGCAATGTGTGGTTTGAAGGAAGAGGGCTCATGCCAGAGGCTGTTGACAGAAGTATGTCCTTAATAAAAGTATCTATGTAGTAATTGCAAGGCCACTACTTAGAAACAAGAGCGTTTCTTGCCACATTAAAAGAGCACCAAAGCATTCGTACCAGTGATATATCACAACAAAACTGCTAAACTACAACCCACATCCAGATCTGAGTTCAAAACAACAGATCTGGACTCAGCTGTTTTCTAATGATATTTTTGTTACAACAAAAAGCTAGTTGTTTCAAGGCAAAAAAATGTGTTTTGAAACCTTCCACTGCATGGCTGTCCTTCTGTCCACTTTGCGGTTTGGCTCCATGGTTCTACACACCTTTGGCTTCATAAAAGATTAAGGAGAGAGCAGGCTGTTCCTCCGGGCATTGTTTTCCCCTGAAAGGCCACATCAAATGTCCACTGACCAAAGCACGGACAGAATCATGTTTAATTCAGGCCGAGCATCCCCCACATTAACTCTAGGAATGAGAAACTGGGGCCACTTTGAGAAATAGGGTCAACATTTGAAATCTACAGGTCTGGCATGGCTTGTTCTGATTGAGAATGTGTGTGGGAGTCACTAGCTGTTTCCAAGCCACTACCCTATCTGGTACAGAAAACCCCCATGAGGTTATGCCATCATTTGCCTTTCCATAGCACTGACTCTCTATGCTGGAGTTCAGGTGCTCCATCATCGAGTCAGACCTCTTCTACCTACCTTACATCTGTTAAAGACATTTGGGCTCCTCTTTGGATTACTACAATGTAATTACCGTACAGATTGATTTCCATTACCTGCCATGCCTTGGACTCCATCCTGCTCTAACTGATGGCAAGAGAAAATTCCAACCGACTTAAATGATGTGTGATCAGGCTCATAGTCTGCAGACTCTTTGCTACTCTCTATATTCCTAGTACCCTTACAGACCTATATCAGTGCATGTTACACAGCAAAGCTCACTAAGGAGACTGAGCTTGAAGCTTCTCTAGGAAGGAGGCACCTCCAGTGGAAAATAATGTCTGGTTGTCTGGGGGGACCTAGACTTTGTGCTAAGTGCTAAAGACCCATGCAAAGATGCAAGGCCCTACCCCGTGGAGTT